TTAGTTTAAAGAGGATACCTGACTACATATATCCTTAAGTTCTTTCTATGAACTGATAAGTATTCGAAGAGTTATTAATTAATTAAGTTTGAATGTTAATTAAAATTTTAATTGCCAGTCCTGTTTTTAAAAAGCTTACAACTCCCTCAAAAATAGCCGTAGAAACGTCGTTCTGGCGATGTTTAATAGCCAATAATCTGCAGTTATAGTTTCAGGAAAAAAATTGAAAAGAAAATCTTTTTTAGGTATTAATTTATAACTAATTAACGCTACTTGATACCAATTTAGCATTACTCTAGCAGCTCACACTTTTATTTCTAAATTAGCGATTTATTGAAAATCGTGAAGTAATAGCTTGTTCGACAGAGATTTTCAAGCACTACAAAACCTTGTATTCGTTTTTCAAAAATTTATCCATAAGAAGGTTTTGTAATCCGGTTTTTCGGAGTATCGAGTTTCTACGAAGGTTATTATTATTGGCGCCAAAATATAAGACATGTTGTTATTTTTTGAATAACTCAACGACGGTGAGAGATAGAGACGTGCAGCTTTTGGAAAGTCGAAAGAGGACAGTTTAGCCTATAATTCATATGCAGAAACATTTTTTGAAAAAAATTCTCAAACCGGTTTTTCAGAGAATCTCTGGAAAACCAGTATCTAAGTCAACAATTTAACATTGCAGTCTATCGATATTTTTTCATAGATAGATAGCTCAAATTGTTCTCTACAAAATAAGATATAACCAAAAGTTTCATTTTGCTTAGTCTGGGAGCTTCGAATGCTTTTCCCGGAGCCCTGGAATGTCTCTATTCTTCGCTCTAGGACCTTCAGGAATGCACAAAAACAAAGGTTATCGATCACGCTGAATCTTGTGGCAATGTTAGTTTTCAAAACAAAATGCAAGAACTGAGTGAAGACCTACACTAGATGAAATAACCCATTGTCATCGAAAATAGACAAGCGTTGTCATTGGCTATTGAATTATCGTCGAACGATAATTCAATAGGGTTAGGTTTTTGAAAAAATTTGTTGGAGAAAAATATGTTGCAAGTAGTCATGGTCGTGAGCTAACTGCGAGCTTTCTTAAACTTTTTCTTTATCTGTTTTAAAATCTAAAAATTTGAAAATTTAATTAAATTAATTCTTAAATTTTAAAACAAATAAAGCAAAAAATTTCCAAGCTTCTATCATTCTTCTATCATCTTGACAAATAAAGCAAAAAATTTCCAAGCTTCTATCATGACCACTTGCAACAAATTTTGCTTCAAACGACTTTTTTCAGAAATCTAACCCGATTGAATTATCGTTGGGAAGGTTGTTTTCAAAACACTTCTTTTCTGCCCAGCAAAATACATGTGGAAAAAAGTTTTGTAATTAATTTTTGTCCCCGTTATCGGCTTTTCCGACCACACATATAGGCGTTATAGGGCATCAAACTGTACAACATATCAAAAAAATCACGTAGGGGGGAGGAAGAACTCCCCCTTAACCTGTTATGATTTAGGTTTATAAATCAGTAGACGCTACCAAAAGGTACTTTTTATCAATCAACTTACCTGAATACGAACCAAATATAAATTCATGACTCTCACTTTTCGTAAATAAATTAGCCTTAGTCTCCTTTTTAGTGCTCTATTTATACCAAAAGTAGAAGCTCGATATTACTCCAAGGAGTTTCAATGCATTTCCGAGCATTCTAATAGGTAGAACTCTCTTTTCGATACCGATTTTTCCAATTTGAACCGTACTTCATTCTGTAGTGTTTTGTTTTATATAAGCAGAATAAAGTGTGTCAATGACTTTCTGTTGATATGTGTGCCAAATGGATAAAGCGTTACAATCAACATCTGCAAAATCGAATAGATTGGTAGCGTTGATATTATCATTGGTGCCAGGGGTGCCATCAATCCAGTTTCTGAACGATGTTATTAATGCTGACAAGTAAGATTGATTCATGAAGAGATATGACTGGACAGACGTTTCATAATACAGATAAAGCTTCAAAGTCTGAAGTACTTCGATATTACCACCTCTATCCATGAGAATGCATGAGTCTTGGTAATGTCGATAGGATAAAAGAGCTCAGCACTCATATTTATCACAAACCGTAAGAACATCATTTAAGATGTTTTAATTCTCCACGTAAATATTTGCATTTCGTTAAGCCCCTTGTAAAAACAAAATTCGATTGAAAACAATTAACGTTTGTTATTAACAATAGCAATGTCCTCTATTTCTATTTATTGAATGAATCATTAACAAAATAAAAAAGATGTTGTTCTCAATGAACAAAACATATGGCAATATTCATTTCAAATAATGAAACTTTGGATATCATCCAAAACAAACAGAATTTTTTGTAAAGAATAACTTTTCTGCCTACATCGACAGTTCTTGAACAAAAAACTAAAGAGGAGGGGGTAACGATTTTTCTTCGAACACTTGTTGTTGCTGTTGGTCTATATTCTTAGGCATTTGTATTATTTGTCTGTTCCGTTTTATATGATCGAAAGAAGTTAGTCGGAAAAGTTAAAGGCAAAACTCTACAATTATATCATCAGATGTCACAATTCCAAGATGTTAAGGATTCATACATTCATACATGCGTGTCTGAATATTAGAAGAATGCGTATTGGGTTTTTTTCAAAAAATAGAAGGAATACGTAACAACCGAATACGGATCCGTACACAAGCTTGTTGAGGACTGAGAATCGAAGACAATACAAGGTACGGATCCGTATATGAAAAATGATAATTTCGTCAAACAAAATATCACAAAAAGAGAAAAAGTTTCTAAAAAAAGGTCTAAAAACGAGATGTAAATTTTAAAATAAGTAAACAAAAGGAGCAAGATAGTTTTAACACCAAAAACAACAAACATATTCTACGAATGACGATACGACTCAACCATTTTATACTTATATTCGGTCAAAACAAGGCATCCATAAATTTTGTTCATAAATCTCGACTAGCACTGTAAAATTTCCAGATTCTACGTTGATAGTGGCGATTTATGGGATGCCTAGTTTTCATCTTATATTTATCTCGACAATATACCATGTATAGTATCTGTCACCTAAGTGACAGCCTCTTCCTTAAAATGATAAAAATACAGTGTTGTACTATTTCATTGAAACATATATTGTTCACAAATAGATTTCTATACCAAAATGTGTGGTATTTACATATTATTGTTACTTGATTAAGTGCATACACAGCTTAAATCGATTCGCCATTCATCCTATTCGCTCCTGCACCGTATTCTATAGTAGGTTAACTTTATCTATGGTGAACGTTGATATAGTTACACTGTTGCCAGGCATTCTGTGTGTTTCAATTGTTGTCAAGTTATGTGGTGAAATAATGGGAAGGAAAATAAAAGGTAATTAAAACTATATACATATACATACTGGTTAATTAACAAAAAAAAGAGATACGAGAGCTCCTACATTTCAGAAGTTTATTAAAACCTGAACTATTATCTTTACTTTGGATGCTATACACTAGTCTTTCTTCACCTTACGTGTTTATTGTAATTCTAATAAAATGAACTAATACTTCTTCGCAAAAAAGTAAGCGGCTGAAATGCTACAATCCCTATCACTCTCTTATCTCACACTTCCACCATCTACTACATCGACTAATTCGCTATAAAACAAAAATGTCTTCCTGTTTACTTATATTATTTGAAGATCGAAAAACTAGAAAAATGTATGATAACAATTCGATCAAGATGACAGATTAACTGCTATCAATTTCTATCCGTCTCGATATTTTCATTAAAAAACTAAAACTAAAGAAATTGTAAAATAACATCAGTTATAATGTATTATCAATATGAAACGAAACATTCAATTTTGTTATCGAAATCTATTGCTGAACTCACTATATGATAGTGTCACACTTTTCTTGACGCGCGCAAAAATCACTTACTGATTACAAACTAGAACGCATAAATTTGTTCCAATCTATCTATTTGCATGTTTATAATGAATGTCGATTTTTATCGCTTTCAAAAAGCTCATAAATTTTTAAAAAATTTTTTTTTTTTGTAAAACTTCTGGAAAACAAGAACTCTAGTACTGATGTGATTAAAAGACTTACCCTCTCTTCTTAGTTGCATTACGTTTAAATAAGAGAGAACGACAGAAAAAGAAAGAATTTTTTGACTATTGCTTAGATATGGTTGATATAGCATTTCTTACGTCAACCAGTTACTATTCACAATGAGTAGCCAAGTTACCGAAAAGGTAATATGTGATAATTCCTCTTCTCTGACTTTGACAACAGCAGTTTACTGTTCTTTTTATTTCCACTCATTTTCATTTAAAGCAGAAAACAACTATCGACCATTATTCAATAAAAATATGAAGACAATGAGGTATATCATAGATAAGATAAACAATAGTAAATAACCTCGAAATAATGAAGAATACGACGAAAAATGCTGAACTCGAATAATCACTTTTCTCTAAAGAAAATTACCCTCTTTTAGTGCTAAAATAATTGTTTTAGCACAAAATTAAATCATATTTAGACTAATACTTTTGCTAGATATTTGAGTTTGAAATAGTGAACAAATGTCAAACTTCCTTGTTCATTGTTTAAAAATTATTGTAATGCTGTTGATAATCAACTTTCTTATTAGTACATATGTAGAGCCACCAGGTATGACAAGTTACAAAACATTATTACTTCAGTCCTAAAGAAATATGTAACTACATTTCCATAAAACACAGCATACTAGTATACTTCTGTATGTTAACAAAATCATCTATTCTATTGCCTTCAAATTTAGGTAATCTGTTTATTAATGTAGATTTGTGTCAGATTCATTTCAAATGTCTAGTCTAGTAATCTTTTTTCTCAATTAGAAATTATCTGGAGAAGTGCTTGAATCAATAAATCTATTGAAACAAAGTGTTTTCCCTGTTATTGTGTTGAATATATAATTCATCGTCTATTTTGTTTAATTCTAGTTTAATGATTCAATTCCCGTTTAACTATTTATGTCTACAAACAGTTCATCACATTCAAGTGTCGGCAATATTGAATCAAAAATGTCTTCAAGAGTAAGAGAAAGACTACTATAGTGTTAATCATGTAGGGAATGTTTGTGTCCTTGGCGTATTGTAGTAGTTTAAGGAATTAGACCGAAGTGAGTTGAGAATTTCTCTTAACAATAATTTAATATCTTCGTCTCTGTATATTATTGAATTAAATTATTTACATTTATTCTTTCTAGCATAATGCATCTCTTCAATCGACGAAATCTGTTCAACCTCGTCAAGGCTCAATATCACATCAAACATCAACAGGAAATAGTCAATACTTAATAACAACCTCAACATCAAGTGGAACAAGTACCGATCATCCTCAAACATCTGGTCAACCTGGAAGAGTCATCATTGCTACTTCTCAAGCGACAAATTCAAAATCTTTACAACCATCAACGTCAAATGTGTGTACAAATGGAAATGGATTTCAGAACGGAGCACCTGTGTAAGTTTAGAATTAGGTGACGTGTATGAATAAGAAAAAATATTAGAGTCTATTTTTAATTTGTCTCAACCAAAATGTTCATTTTTTATCGTACAATATTTTTTTCTGTTTTCACATTTTAGTCAATTTCAATTTAATACAAATGATGGTACATTATACACTGGAACAAATTTATTTTTTAATCCTCAACAAAATGTGAGTCTATTATGATTCTAATGTCACTAAAAACTGTTTAGTATATCTCGCTACTTTAGCAGTTACTAGCTTATTCTACTCCCTTGATTAAACAACAGTGTTTTGCTAACCAAGATCTGACTGCAGATGAGATAGAATCAGACAATTATGAAAATGTCGAATTGTCTTCACCTAATCAGCAGACGGCTGTTGGGCCACAAATATTTAGATTACAATCCGTAAGGACTAGCAGAATTGATTTTGATGTGTTAAACACACACGTTTTCTTTTTCATTTGACATTAATAAAGTGTTTGACAGACTAATAAATAACAAATAATCACTTCATTTATTAAATCTTGTTTATTTTCTGTTAGACGATGAATAAATTTAAAATATGAAAATTAAATCAATATATAATGAGCGTTTGCTATTAAAGAGTTTAAGTAATTTATTTCATTCAAATTTATCTTAAATGTTGTTCTTTGTTTGTTTGTTTGTTTGTGTTACTAACTTGTTTCTTATGTAATCCATTAGTTATTTATTATTTCTAATTTAGACAAACTCCGGTGATGGATATAGCCATCATATTTTATCATGTGAAAGTGGAAATGGTGCCTTTAGTTTTCTCCAAGATGGAAATTCAGCCCAAACATTAGCTCACACAACAAGGGCATCGCCTAGTACGGTAAGATTTCGATTAGTTATATTATAGCGAGAAAAAGAATAACATATAGTTCTTCTTTATTTCAAATTTTATAGAGAAGTTTGAACACATTCTATTATTTTGTAATGAAACTGTTGAGATTTCATATTTGATCAATAAATACTAGATATATGTTTTCTGCAAACAGACCAAGAACAGTTGTAATTATTAGTCTAATGTTTTCTCTTCTTTTTTTTTTGATTTTAGGTTCAATGGTTAGTGGATAATTTCGAACCATCTGAAGGATGTTCACTGCGAAGATCAGTATTATACTCATTTTATTCACAACACTGTCACGAACTAAAATTAGAACAAGTTAATCCAGCATCGTTCGGAAAATTAATTCGATCCGTATTTTTAGGATTAAGAACACGAAGATTAGGAACAAGGTAGATAATTATCCTTTTTATGAAGAAAAGTATAATTTTTATATTTTGATCTCAAAATTGACAAATACTCATACTGATGTGTCTAATACGAATATTGCTCTTTTCCAGGGGAAATTCCAAATATCATTATTATGGTATTCGTTTAAAAGCTTCATCCAGTCTTAATCAATATACGGATAAAAATGGTGGATTAACATTCAAAGGACAGTATTACTTTGGATCAACAAATACAAAAAAGTAAATACTCAGCATTTTTGAAATTCTTGATAAAATCAATGTCTCTTTTATTTAGACATAGTTCAGCATCTCAACCGAATGCAAACGCTGATAACTCTCCAGCATCGTCACCTACTCATTTTGGTGAATTACAAGATCAATCATATTCATCTGAATCAGACACAAAATTAAATATACAACAATCACAGTCTACATCCGATACAAGTAAGTCAAACAACACGTTGAGTGAAAGATCATGGGTATAGAAGTTGTAGCCGAAAATTTTTTTTCTAAGATACACTTTCTCGCTCATTCTAATTCTAATTTTATTTAGATTCTCTCGTATTATATGAAAGCATTCAAATTGATTCATCATTAGTATTACCTGAATGTTTAACGCTAGCCAATTTACGGCGATTTGAAGATTCATATAAAGAACATTGTGCAGTATGTGTAGAGAAAAAGACATTGAACGTATGTCGTTATTTCTATATGTCGTTTATTTTCTAGAAATTATTTGACGTTATTACAAATTTTCAATTTACATCTATTGAACAAATATGGACAAATTTTTGGAAATCAGGGCAGAGTGAACAAGGGTATGAAATTTCGTTAAACTTGTACTTATATAAGGTTTAGAATCGAAATACTCGACATAAATTCAATAGTGTTTTCTTTTTCCTTCTGTTTGATGATAGTGGTGATCAGGTGTTAACAGCGTATCAACTTTTAAGTGTATGTTCATTGTCACAAGTTCAAGATTTTATTCGTCAATGTGATTATATACTTTATCAACAATTAATTGAACGCCTTATACCCGACATACTTAGTCCAATGCCCGGTACGTATTCTGAGAGATTTGTCTCAGCACAGTGTAGAATATTCTCGTTGTTCTCATTCTAAGTCGATCGAATGAGATTCGGGAGGGACTTTTAGCACAATAAACTCTTCTTTCTTTCTTGCTAGATAGAAGTTCATACTCTGATTGAGAATTTTCAAAAATTCTGTCGTTTTCATTATGAGATAATTAATCATTAATTATTAAAATCATCACCTGACAGGTTACAGTGCTTACAGATTACAGACTTCTCTGCATGTCATAGCACAGGTATATAGTAGAGTGTATGGTAGGATGGATAATTAATCAAATAACTGAGACATGTATACTGTTGAGCATAAAATCGATCTAATGATAACTGCCTTTGAGAAAACCAGTTTCGTCTTTTTATTGACAAAAGTTTTAGCGTTCGATTTCACATACGAGACGAAATGATATTCATAGCTCGTCTTTGAATCATGCACTAAGTTTGCTCTTTCTTTTTCAATTGGATTGGAGGGCTTTTCGAAACTTATCTTTCCTTACTGACTACTAAGTTTCACTCGCTCGACCTTCCAATTGGTTCTTGAGCTGTAATTTCTTGTTTTGTAATGGATAGTTTGACATGTTGTTGTTATGTTTGTAATTTCAGGACCAATAACTCAGTCGATTCGCACATTTGCTAAATCATTAGATTCAACACTGAAATCAGTTATCTCTCATATGCCTGAAACATTAAAAACGATAAAAGTGGGTATTTTTAGTTCTTTCTCAATTTCTAATCATTTAAAAGCTTTGCTGTATTTTCAATTAGTTAACAATTGTCAGTTCATTCTCGATGACTCTTCGTCGTTATACATCATTGAATCATTTGGCTCAAGCAGCCAAAGCCGTACTACAAAATTCGCAACAAGTCCAACAAATGTTACAAGATTTAAATAAAGTCGATTTTAAACATATACAGGTAGGTGGTAATGACCTGAGTGTGTTTGAGAACCTCAAAGAAGAAATTTTAGCAGACGAACTAAGTACAGCATGCTCTTTTTGTTGAGTAGTAATGTATGATAGTTTAACATAAACCTTCACTCTTAAATTGACATTGGACTTTTGTCTATTTAAGATTCATTCTTTAATCAAACACACCAGAGTGACTTTAAGAATTGCCGTTTCATACTAGGTGTCTTGATCTCTGCTTAGTGTAATCATTATTTGAAGGAAGTTTTTATTTATATATTTTTAGGAACAAGCATCATGGGTTTGTGAATGTGATGATTTGATTGTATCACGTGTTGAAAATGATTTTAAACAACAGCTACAATCCCAAGCAACTTTAGAACAATGGGCACAATGGCTAGATGGAGTTGTTACCGATATTCTTAAACCTTATCAAACCCAATCACATTTAACATACGCTAAAATGGCTAAACAATTCTTACTTAACTGGTCTTTCTATTGGTAAGCAACGATAGAATATGAAATACTAACAATGTTAAAATGAAAGTCATACGCCGCGCTGTAGATTAGAATTGTCAAAAGATAGTCTATACAGAATTATGAAACAAACTATTCTTCTATAATTAGTGTTATTTTCACTCGATGAAATGTACGTGATGTTAATATATTTTAGTTCGATGGTCATTCGTGATTTGACATTACGTAGTGCAGCATCATTTGGATCATTTCATTTAATTCGTTTACTTTATGATGAGTACATGTTTTATTTAATTGAACATAAAATCGCCGTTTATTCGCAAAAAGCACCGATCGCTATAATGACCGAAGTGAGTGATGAATAGAAAAAATAATAATTTGTCTCTACGTTATTATGTGTCTGTCATTTCATTGTTAAATTTCTTAAAGATATTTATTCTAATTGTTTTTCTGTTTTAGACAAATTTGGCTTTGAAATTAAGTGTATATGATAGTGTCATTCAACCATCTTCGTCACAAACAATACTAAACGATTCGGCAGTAAATGGAGCAGGAACAGTTCTTGAGCGACGAAATTTCATTTCGAAAGTGGCTTTAGTCATTAAAAAGTCATCAACAACACTCGATGGACAACAAAATGGAAATAATGATCAACATCAGGTATGGTCACACTCCTTTAGTCCACTTGATAGTATTCTTCGCAAAATAGTCGATTTTTTTGGAATTTGCTCCATCTTCATATTTGACGTATTTTCATGCTAACTGATGTAAAATTTCACTAGGATTCTCACAGTGTGTATTTCCCTAACTGCAGGCGAACATCGGATATGCTTGGTCCTTAATCGTTTTTCAATAAATCAGAATCATTCTATACTCATATCTAATACCTTTAAAAAAAAAATATTCAGAAAAATCAATTTTTTTGAAAAAATGGATCTTGTATGTGCATGAGAAAAAATTTCGATAGATATTTGCTCGATCCAAAACTTAACGTGTTATACATTATTCAATGTAGTTTCTCACACTGATTCAGAATATGCTTTTAGGTTTTGTTAGAGACCTTCATGAGATGAGAAAATTTGGATTTTACTTAAAAGACCAATTGTTTTTGGAAAACCTATACCGAAGTTCATGAAAGATTACAAAGAGCATTTCAACATACAGAGGAACATTTTAGAAAATTTTGAGTTAGTTTGGGAAATTCTGTTTTTTTTTAAATGCTGATTTTTTGCTAAATGTCCTTCTGAATGCATTAAGTGATTCTGTACCTTCAATACGATGAAAAAATTAAGGGAAAATTTTTAATTAGGAAAAAAACAACATCTAACATTTAACATTTTTTCACAACATCTAATATTTTTGTTAGATGACGATTGCTATATGATTTATCTGCTTGCCTATGTTTTTCATTTGTTCGCATTTTTTCTCGTAATTTTTAGGCCAAAATTGTTCAGATAACAACTGAAAATTTACAGTTACCATTATTTAATAAAGTCTTTAAAAAACCTTCATCCATTAGCTTAGTATCAAAATCAGTCGATGATCAATCATCTTCCATGTTGTCTTTGTCTCGTTCAATTCTTCATGAGAACGATAATGAATCGTTGTTTGGTGATTCTCAAGAACAACTACAAACGAAAAAGTTAAAAACCTAGTTATTCTTATTAGTTGTACACGCGTGTATTTTGTAAATAAACGTTGTTTCTATGTACGTTCATGTGTATATATCTATCCATTCAAGAATAAAAAAATTATATATTATTCATTTTACTGTTGCTTCTCATTTCATTCCTTTTCGAATCTACATCAAAATAAATAAGATATGAAACGTACTACTGCAAACCTTAGAGTAGAACACTTTAAACATTCTGCTTTTCTATGAAATCGTGTTTGTATGTAAATTACAGGATTTAGATTTTGAAGGTATCCTGTAGTTTCGGTTCTGGATTTATGGCGATATTGAAAAGTACTCAGACTATAATGATCATTCCTTATACAAAATTTTGTTGATAAGTCGCTGCTGTCTGTGTTTGTTTTAGCCAAATTCTCTGTAAACTAGTCCCACAATATGACTGAAAACTTTACTGAAATAAATCGTTTCTATCTTCTTCATGAATAGGCTTAAACTCGAATGTTTAATCCCCTAATGCAATTAGATGGGTTTTTTATTCGACGTGAAATCATTGCTACATTATGAGTACCCGTTGTCAACCTTACCATTATGAACAGTCATTTGCAAACGCAGCTAGCGCTAAAACATCACAAACATAATTTACAAGTGGCCAATGACAATCGTACTAACGATTTTGAAATTGCAAAGAAAAACCTTGACAAAGAGCTTCAACTGACAGACGACCAGCAAAAAGAAAATCTTCTTGCATATCATTCACAAAGATTCTTTTTTAGAAATGAGTAGTGCTTCATCTCCGTCCTCGCCTCTATAGTCTAATGCGCTCGAGTCTACTTGTAGCATCATTGTTCTGTGTCTTCTCATTCCTTTCAGAGCGGACACTTTGCCTCCATAACCTGTCTTAAAACTTTTTCTAGTGTATGCAGCATATATAGATATAAATATACCGAAAGCGTTAGAATTGTGGACGGTGGGTCACATA